GGAAAAATTCTTTGCTTGCACGGTCCACCAGGTACAGGAAAGACAAGTATAGCCAGGTCTATCGCGTCCGCATTGAATCGTGAGGTAATAAGCCCTTTGCTTCGTCTTTTTTTTCCATCTTGCACTGTTCATTTAGTACTTCCGTTTTTCTGTTGGAGGAATGACCGATGTTGCTGAGATCAAAGGTCATCGGAGAACGTATGTTGGTGCTATGCCGGGAAAGATGATACAGTGTTTGAAGAAGGTAAGTAATAAAACTTGCCTTCTTCTTTTGAATAAAGTGCTGACTTCGAGGTCCATACGGAAAATCCCCTTGTGTTGATTGACGAGGTAGATAAGATTGGCAGCGCTGGCTATCATGGTGATCCCGCAAGCGCACTTCTTGAACTACTTGATCCTGAACAGAATGCTAACTTCAACGACCATTTTCTCGACGTTCCCGTTGATCTCTCTAGGTTTGTTCTTTTTTTCAAAGTCTCTTATTTCAACACAATTGCTGTAAAGTGAGTTATGCGGCTGTTAAGGGCTACGGGCATCAGCCAGAGCATCTTTGTTATGAATCGTACTATTGCTCACATAGGCGTGCCCCATCGGCGGTATTGTCTGCTACCTGTACTATATGGGAGTTGTAATTTGGCAACGGTCCCAGAATTCTTTCTTTGAAGGAGGAGGAAAGGGAGGAGGGACATGACGGTGATCTTTCCAGATGAAGAGGTGGTGTTAGTCTCGTCGGAAAGTTTTAGGGACGGTCGTTGAACCAAGTTTGAAAGATTTCGTAATCATACCAGTCTTTGAACAGATCAAATCACTTGCATTGCATTTGAGATGAAAAAATTTATCATTTAATGAGCAAGTTTCTGGCAATGCCGCGAAGCTCACCTCATCGGGATGACAGCAACAGGTTGCAATTGGCTTTGGTTACGTTTATAAACTTTCCATGCATAAGAATTATTTATCCCCCTAGAACTTTAAATTGGGTACATGATAGTGATTTTTAGTTCTTGTTGTTAGATATGATTATTTGATAAGTTAGATCATTTTAGGGTATTATTTTTGTGCACTGCCAACACTGTAGACACGATACCAGGACCACTCAAAGATCGTATGGAGTTGATAGATGTTAGTGGTTATCTTGCCGAAGAAAAAATCGAAATTGCTCAACGATACTTGATCCCTCAGGCGCGCAAAGAAACGTAAGTTTTCTTTTTTGAACACATTTGACTTCATTTCAAACACCAGTATGTACAAGTGGTATGGTATTCTAATCGATTAAGGTCACTCACGGAAGAACAGTTGATTGTCGAGAATGATGCTGTCGAAAGTATAATCAAACACTACTGCCGCGAATCAGGAGTGCGAAATCTCCAGAAGCATATAGACAAAGTAAGCTGCTTGAATTGGCCTATTTACTCTCTAGAAGTATCTGTGATTCTCCAGATTTTCCGCAAAGCTGCTTTGCAAATCGCTGATCATCCGAAAGAGTCTAAGTCAGAAACCATTGTCGTCAACAGCGAAAATTTGGAAAAGTATGTGGGAAGGCCAAAATTCACCACTGATCGAATGTATGAGACGACTCCACCTGGGGTGCGTTCCTTTTTTACCCTTTTTTTGCGATTGTGAGTTAGCTTTCATAAGCCATTGCCGTGTTACGCGTATAGAACTTTCTCCTTCGTCATCTGTTTGCTCCGAAAGATGGTTTGTTTATCCAGGTGGTTATGGGACTGGCATGGACGTCCATGGGAGGTTCTGCATTGTATATCGAGACTGTTTTGAAAAGGCCCGTTGATTATGCTTCCGATAAGGACGGGAGCTTGGAAACCACCGGCAATCTGGGAGACGTGATGAAGGTGCTCTTTTTGTTGACTGTACTTCACTCTATTTAAAATAAGATTTTA